ACTGCAAGTCCAATCACAACACTTCTGCCATCATTCCTTTGAGTGGGGCAGATGCCAGAGGCTTCGTCTGTCAAGTGGCACCCTGGCTGTTCCTTGGGTCCCCATGGCCCCTGCACTGCTTCGTGACATGAGACATTTCCTAAACCCAGACAAAGCCTGTATCAAGTAGACCCTGCCTGGGGATCCACATCTCACCCTCACAAAGGATCAATTCTCTCATCACTCTGCCCCTCCATTTGCCCCTGATGATGGTTAATTTCATGTGTCAATGTAAGTAGGCTAGGGTGCCCAGTGGAGTGGTCAATGCCAGTTTAGATGTTGCTGCCAAGGTATTTTTTAGTATGATGAACATCTTCATCAGTAGCCCTTATCACAAAACTGAGTCCCCTCCCGTGCTGCAAAAAAGATTCACCACAACCTTGTTTCACTTTCTAAAGGAAAGAAAACTTTATTATTATTACAGAAACACTAATAGAAACAGAAGAGGAAAGGAATTTACACATACAGGAAGGGAATAGTAGGCAGGAAATGAGAATAAGGCCACTTTACCTCATATCAGGTACTTACAACAGAACCACCTCACCAGCTGGGGAAGCCCTGTGGAGACAGCCAGATTGCAGTCCCAACTAAGAGGACTGGGTGTAGCATCCTCCCCTCAGGGGACACTTCCAGGGGACCATCCCCTTAAGGGCCATACTTATAGGGCAAATAATAGGGTTTGAAATTAAACATTTGTTCACTTACGTGCAGTTTGGAGCAAGCTGCACATTCACATTGTCATGTTTCTGTATTTTCACGGAGCCCAAGCTATTTGCTTCTACCTCCCCTCCTCGATCCCATTCTGGGGGACCAGCCCTGCCTGGAGCAGGAGGGGATAGGAGACAAGGCTGTAGCTCTTGGCGTCCAGAACAGAAGGGCCAGACCTGGAAGCTGATATCCCTGATGAACATTGATGCAAAAATCCTCCACAAAATGTTACCAAACCAAATTCAACAATACAGTAAAAGGATCATACGCCATAATTAAGTAAGATTTATTCTAGAAATGCAAGGATGGTTCAATATCCATAAAATAATCAGCATGATATATCACATGCTGTATCACACATATATATCACACACATATATCACAAAATTAAGGGTAAAAATCATAAGATTGTCTTAACAGATGCAGAAAAAGTATTTGATAAAATTCAGTATCTAGTTACCAAAAAAAACCAAGGGTTATAGAGGATATGGAGAAAGAGGATAAGGAGAGGATAAGGTGAAACACCCTCAGGTGTTGTTGTTGGAGATGTGAATTGGTACAGCCACTATGGAAAACAGAATGGAGTTTCCTCAAAAACTTAACAATAGAACTACCCTATGATCCAGCTATTCCACTATTGGGTATTTGAAAATATATATGCACCACTGGGTCCATTGCAGCATTATTTAAAACAACCACGATATGGAAACAACCTAAGTGTCCATTGACGGATAAATGGATAAAGAAGCTGTGTTATACATGTATATGCACACAATGAAATACTACTCAGCCATGAAAGGGAAGGGAATCTTGCCATTTGGGACAACATGGATGAAACTTGAAAGTAATATGCTAAGTGAAATAAGGAAGACAGAGAAAGATATTATGTATAATATCACTTCCATGTGGAATCTAAAAAAGTCAAATATATGGACACAGAGAGTAGATTGGTGGTTGCCAGGGGCTGGGTGGTGAGATAAATAGGGGAGATGTTGATCACAGGGTATTAACTTCTGTATATAAAATAATTTCTGATGGTCTTTTGTACAGCATGGAGACTGTAATTAACAGTATTATATCGTACTTGAAGGTTACTAAGAGACTAGACCTTCAATGTTCTCACCACAAAAAGTAAATAAGTAAAACAAGAAGGATAATTATGTGAAGGTTGCATTAACTATCCTTATGTTGGTAATCATTTCACAATATAAACATAGATCAAATGATCACATTGTGTAAAACTTAAACTTACACAATGTTATATGTCAATTATATCTAGAAAAAAAAAATGTTGACATCATTTCCTTCTGGTCCCCATGGTTTCTGAATAGAAATCCTCTGTCATTCGAGGTGTTTTCCTCTCTGAGTAGGTGTGATTTTTCTCTTTCATCCTATGATAATTTTCCTTTTTCTTTAGTGCTCAGAAATGTTAATTCGATGTCTCTTGACATGCATTTCTTCAGGATTATGCTGTTGGGGGTCTGTTACATGTGAAAATTTTTGAGCAATTACTTGTTCAAAATATTTTTCATCTCCATCCTCTCTCCCCACTCTTTCTAGGATTCCAGTGGCACAAACGTTAGATCTTCTGTTTGGTCCCATGTATCCCAGATACTGTGGGGTTTTGTTGTTGTTGGTTTTGACTTTGGGGTTTTGTTTTGCTTTGATTTGTTTTTAGCTAAGTTTCTCATTTTGGTTTAGATTGGGTAATTTCTTGCTTCTGATCTTTCCTCCTTTATCCTTTCACTCTCCTCCTAACAGACCCTTCCTAGCCAGCCACCCCCTACGGCACCCATATCCTTACTTCAGGCCACTTTCCCGGCCACATTAAGTCAATGACCATTTGTGCTCTTTGAGCATCTACTAAAAAAACCATCTTATTTCATTACGGAATGGTATGGGAGCTATCCAGTTTAACTTACATCAACATATCATGGGAATCTGGGCAGAACCTGGAGTCCTTACTCTGCTATTAGCTGGTTGGCAGGCCCTGCATCTTTAATCACATGTGGTAAGAAACAAAGACAGGAAAGCTATTACAATGCAGTAAAAAGTTTTTATTATACGCATAGTCCCCTGGAAACAGAGCACACAGCATGCCACCCGGCGACACAGGTAGTACCGAGGTAAAAAGAGCATACAGAGAGAAGTACTGCTGGCCTGTATTTTTTACTGTGTGTTTCATGAGGAGTAATGGAGAAGCAAAGTCAATAAGCTACTTAGACATAAGATTGGAGAGTTTGAAAATTTCAGCAGGCTGCAGACTATAGCTGTGCTCCTTGTCCTATGGTACCCAGGGGCAATTTGGGTAGAGGGAAATGTCACAGATTGCTGGTCTCATTGATAGGAAGAGAGTAAGGATTTGGACTCAGGATTGTCTGGCTTGCATATCAAACCTATGCCCCTGGGCAAGTCTTTTACTGCCTCTGAGAATTAGCTAATTTTGGGAGAGACAGTCCCTTTCTGGTTAGAGCAGCAAGAATGCATAAATAAGAAAATGCATTAAATATAAAGCCTCATGAGGGTGAAAATAGAAGCTCATGCTGGGGTGTTTGGGCAAGAGTGGTAAGTAAGTATTGTGGTGATCTGAAACCCTTGTCCCATAAATCGTGTGCCCGCTGAATCTGCTTAGATCCAATACTAAAAAAAATACTATCTCCTTTCTGAGATTGTCTGCTGCTGGGCTCCACCCAATCTTACAATCTGGTGTGTCTGACATTTCTGGTTTAGGAAGATCAGCTCTGTCACACAGTTAATTGATGTGCCATGGACAGGTCTACTGGGGCTTGTGCTATGCTAGGAACTACTTGTTGAACAGTGAATAGGTTGTTTTTGAGAAGGGCCAATCTTGCCGAAAAACCGGGAAGTCTATGCTATCGATAAGTCTTCATCTTGGCTTGCCAGCGTGTCCACAACGTCCTTCCCGGACACAGATGCATGTACCACCAAATGATAGGAGAGGTCATAGACCCACTTGCATTGAGACCAAAACCTGATACAGAGTCCTTCCTGGCTTTGCGTCCACTCTACACTAGTGACTTCAAAATTAGCTGATAAATGGAATGGTGTAACTTATCCAAGTGTGGAATGTGTTGTCTCAACACTCAACAAGGTAGTGTGCTTCAACCTCAGTGGTGGGAGGTACAAGATGCAAGCACTTGTCCTTTACCTCAGAGAGGATGTGCCCGCACTCCTCAGATATCTGTACCCCTGACATAGCCACCAGGGAGGAGACCCAAATGAATTTTTGTAGGGTGTGATCCCACTGTTGGAGCACATGTGTTTTTCCAAGTTAGTGAAGTCCTCACCACTTCTCGCTCATGGTGTGCAATTAACAGGATGTAATTTATAGAGTATGGCCTGGCGGGATGCTCTGGGGGATGTTTATACAATGCACTGTAGCAGAGAGCAGTGAGTTAACATAGCTATGGGACAAGACTGAGGATTTGACCGGCTCTTCACTGCAGGTGAAAGCAATGTCCACCAGAGGACTGCATTACATCATATGCCATGCCCCCTGCTGGTAGATCTTGTATTTGGCCAAGCATGGGGTAAGCACTTTCAAAACCTCCACATGGCCAGAAGAGGGAGACAACACACCCAGAAAAGAATGGGGCCCGGAGGGGTATTCTTCTGATAAGCTTAATTATTGAGTATTTTAAGCAATACGAATGCCCCATAATTTGCATATATTCTTCCTCTTAGATCTGGAGTGCTTCTGCCACTCAGAGTTTAATAACAGAGTCTCTGGGTGTGTGGCAGGAACACACTGGACCCATTGAAACAGCAAGATGGTTGACTCCATCACAGCTTCTTGGCCTTCTGCTCCTCTAGGTTCCAGGTGAGAATATTTGGACAAAGCAGATTAAAGTGGGGTATGATTTTCTATGCCTGATTTTCTTTCTTCATTGGGAATCCTTCCATAGATGAATTTAGTGTATTTTATTTTATTTTTTTTTTAAGATTTTATTTATTTATTTGACAGACAGAGATTACAAGTAGGCAGAGAGGCAGGCAGAGAGAGGAGGAAGCAGGCTCCCTGCTGAGCAAAGAGCCCGATGTGGGGCTCGATCCCAGGACCCTGGAATCATGACCTGAGCTGAAGGCAGAGGCTTTAACCCACTGAGCCACCCAGGCGCCCCAGAATTTAGCGTATTTTAAAAATAAGAAGTATTCTCTGTCCCACCTATCTAGATACTGGTGACTTCCATGTACATATCCTGAGGCTCTGCTAATATTTCCTGTGGTTTCAGCCTCCCTTGGTGAGACTGTGCTGACCCAGTCTCCTGCCGTCCTGTCCATGGCTCCAAAAGAAGGAGTCAGCCTCACCTGCTGGGCCAGTCAGAACATTAACAAGTGGTTAGCCTGGTATCAGCAGGAGCCAGGGAGAGCTCCTAAGTTCCTGATCTATGAAGCATCCAAGTTGGAAACTGGGGTCCCATCATGGATTAGCAGCAGTTGGTCTGGGACAGACTTCACCATCACCATTAGCAGCCTGGAACCTGAAGATGCTAGGACCTACTATTGCCTGCAGTCTAACAGCTACCCGTCCACAGTGCTACAGGTCAGAACCTAAACCACCAGGGAAGCAGATGTGACGGGCTGGGCTGCCCCTGCTGGTCCTTTAATGCCTGCAACTGCTCAGACAGTTTCTCAGAGGCAGCCACAATTTGGAGGTCATGGGGACTTTGGTAGAATGGCAAGGAGGATGCTCGGCCCCCTGGCTTACTCCCTTTCCCCCAGATCATTACACCTGAGGACTGTGGGTGATGGCATCCGCCTGGATTTATAGAGCAAAAGAGAAGCCACTCTAGGTATTCCAAGCAGGAATTGCTTCCTATAGGGAAGTAGTGTCTAAATTTCACTCTTTAAAAGGCTTGGGGATATAGTAATAAGGGAAGTAGACACGAGAAATGGTGATTCCTCAGTGATCCCCCGTAAGTTAGAGAATTTATACCATTGGAGATACAGGCTGCCTAGCCACATGGTCCTCAGGCCTGTCTAGGAGGGCCAGTGATGGAGGCCCTGATGCTCTACCCCTGCAGACCCTCCCCAGGTGATTCTCTGGTCCCCCGCTTATCATTCACCTGCCTGCAGGTGCTGATGGAAGGCATTGAATCCTTCTCTTCTGACCTCCAGATCTAGGGTAAGGTGCCTCGTGAGCAACTCCATTGGGAACCAGAGAGGAAAGGGGGCTCTGGGAAATGTGCTTCCAGAAGTGATTTTGGTGATGGGGAGTTGACAGAAGTCAGCACGGGATGGTCACTGTTTTTACATCTCTCAGAAGTTGGCCAGTTAGGGGAAGACCCCAGAATATGTTTGAATATGCTTCTAGCTATCATCATTAGGTCATAACAAGGAGATTTTGTTAAGTGACAGAGGGAATGGAAGAATGAGGAAATTGTGTCATGTATATAGAAATAACTTGACAATGAAGGACTTTTGTGATTAAAAAAAAAACTAAATGTGGATGAAGCATTGTTTTTTTTTAATATAAGAATACCTTGTTGCTTAAAATTCTCTATTACCATCATCATCGACAACCCTGAAAGCTTGTGACACATGTGAAATAACTGTCTCCACCTGATACCTACTCACAAGGCTCTCCATTTTAACAAGATGGCAGGAGAGCTGTGTAAGGTTTAAGATGCTCTGTTGTACAGCATTTTTACTTTCCCTAAACTAGTCTTTCTTTAATTTTCTATTTTCATTTAAGACATTTCTATTGAAAGCCACATGTTGAATTAAAGCCACAAGTCAAAAAACACTCCAAATTTACTTTCTAATTCATACAAAATTAAATTACAAACTTCTTTTTAGACTGTAAATTTGGAAAAATATAATTATTTGGAAACAACATGACCACATAACCTAAAAAATAAATAGAATAATGATTTGGGGATGGTGAGGAGAGCAGTGGGCAGTGCTCCCGGTGGTTCCAGCAACTGCATTCTGCTCTGGGTCTGTTCATCTGGACAGGAGCTGCTTTGGGGAAGGGCTTGCAAGGCTCAAGGATCAAGGGACTTTGTCCTTTGAAAGCTTCCTTTCTTGATGACACAAATCCCAAACCTCAGGAATTCTAAAATGAAATTTCTCTTGCAGGCCTGTAATGGAATTCATCCACGGGATGGACTTTGAATCCTATCTCTGATAAACGCTCTTTGAAGTAGGCAAAAAAATGGAAATGCAACCAAGCAAACACTACTACTACTACTAATACTGCTACGACTAACACTAGTATTGCAAATACTAGTACTACTAATGTTAGTAATAATACTTCAGGCACTACTACTGCAATGCTACGACTACTAATAAAATGAATAAACATCAACAACTACACTGTCAACTGCCATTGAGTGAAATCTTGAGGAATTACTATGTGTTGAATAATGTATGAAGGACTCATTCATCTACCGCAATTCATCTCACAATAATCCTCTAGAGATGAAAAATCAGGAGTTCTCAGAGTTTACATTATTTGACATGCCAGTGGTTCTAAAGGAAGAAGACAGAAAAAGAATTTGTTGTTTTGACTCCATAATTTCTACTCATCATTTAACTACATTCATTAAAAAAAAATAGTACAAATAAAAGCAGGTCAAGATAGAGACTGTCTCTAGCATCCCAAAAGCTCCCTCAGTCTCCTTCCCTGTCAATTCCATGCCCACCCCCCACACATATACCGCGAGAGGCCACCCCTCTTCTGTTTTCTATTCACATTGAGCAGACATTCTCTGTTTTTGAACTTCATATAAGTGGAATTATACAGTACGTACTTTTTTGATGTCTTGCTTCTTTGGATCATGTCCTTTGAACTTCATCTCGTTGTTGGTGTGGCCATAATTCATTCCTTTCCTGCTGAATAGTTCACTATTACATAAATACATCACAAATAATTTTTTCTTTTTTTTTCACAATTAATTTTTTCAATCATAGGAATAGTACGGAAGTCTTGTGACATAATAGGAAAAGTAGGCAAGGCTCTGTGTATTTCAGGCATTTCTTAAGACAGTGTCCCTTTTATTTTTGGATCATCTTTGCACACATTACACAGCATGTTCTAATAGAGAAAATATCCATGAAGCTATTTTTACCATCAATGCATGCAACATACTTTTTTTTCTATTTTATTATATTATACTCTGTTTTAATCTATAAGTCTAACTTTTACTATTAAAACATGCGACTATGACACTCATTCCTTAGCCCATAAACAGATAGAATCCTTCATTTTATAAAATACTGCCCTGGGAGATCTTTCTCAGTGTGACATTTTATAGAGGCCCGAGGCCCAAAACCCTGAAAGTAGCCTACAGCAGGTCCCCCAAATTGATGGGTGTAATTTTCCTTCCTGTGAGTCATGGGTCAAATATTTAAGAACTAGAGAAAAGAAGGAAAAGATAATATTAGGATTATGAAAGAAAGAAGAACAACCCATGATGTTTTAACCTTTTTTGGGTGAGGTTTTGATACTGGGTGGTAAAAAGAAACACAATGAACAGGTCCGGTAGGCTTGATGGAAACCCTGAGCAATTAGTATAGATCAAAACAAAATAATTCTGTGTTTAGAAATAGTGATTTGGTTACTGAAAAACAGCCCTAGATCTTAATGTGCCTGTGGATGAGACTTACTTGGATTAGTTCTAAATTTGTCTTCCATGTGTCTCTCTATGAGGTTCCTCAGTATACCTATGACGACCATGATTATGGGAACACTGAACACAGTAGTGATAATAATAAAATAAAAAATAAAATATGTTATGTGTTTGATACATTGCCAAATACCTTACTTTTGTTTAAACTGCAAACAGAACCATTGTTGTCACAGTTTCAAAGATAGGGAAACTTAGGCAAAGGGAAGTTAAGTGAATGGGGTCAATATCACACTTCCATAAGCAATGCAGCTTTGTCCCCTGCCCAAATGGGGTGACTTCAGGGACTTCACTGATAATATCAGAACCTTTGGATGGATAATGTCTGACTGTCAGTAAGCTCTAACTTCTGATGTGATGACTATTCACGTGGAAGTTGGAGTAACATTGATAAAATTGCTTCCTTGAAATGTACAAAAAGGTTGGGAAAGCAAGAGTTGAATGGCTTCCGTTTTCTACTCAGTGGGCTTGTGCCAAACACCATCTGGAGGAGTTTAAGTGATAAGTAAGGCAGGAGGACACAGGAGAGATATCCTTCCCTCAGGCTGAGCCCTTGGCATCCTCTGACATCACCACCTAGGGATAGGTTGCTCAAGGGCAGAGAAGGGGAAGTGAATGGTCTCGGGAGCTGGAAGCGCAGATGGCCCTTTGCAGCCAACCCTGCTGTCCAGAGCCCATGTCAATGCCTGGGTCAGTGCTCTGGGGGGAGATCTGCCTCAGTTAGGACACAGATCGAACCAGGGAAGCCCCAGATATCTGCAACACATCTAATCATCAAATAGCTTCTGATAAGCCTAGAAAAATAACTAGTACAATTAAGGGGAAAAAAAGAGCCACAATAAGCAATTCTTTGTGCAAAGATGGTAAGTAATTACATACAAAGGGGGTAAATTTGATCAGTAATGCAGGAACTGCCCATGAAAATCTCACTGTGTTGTTACGGCACAAGCAGATGGGCTAATGTTGAGCAAACTGCCAAGATTATGTTGTAGTGAGGCTGAAGAGCTAGTGGACATTTCACGCGCTGCTGCTGAAATGTGTATTGGCACATTCGTGTAGGAAAGTTTTTTCTGATTATCTACAAATGAAGAATATATGCACACCCCAGGACTCTTTTAACTCTGATATACCCAGCAGAATTGAGAGTGTACGTGCTCAAGGTATGTCATGAGAGCATTGCCTATGACAACCCCAAACTGGAGACAGGCAGTTACTGATCTAGAATGGACCGGATGCTTCAATTATGGTATTTGCAAACATTTTTATCCCCTCTGTACTTTATCTGAGTGGTAGTTTTGAAACCTGTGATAATTTCAATGCCGCCCAAATTACCAATCTTTTATATGGAGTACCCTTCATGTCTTATCTGAAAAGCCATTTCATACCTCAAATTGATAAATATATTATGACTTATTATTTTTCTCAGCTTTATCACTGTACTTTAGTTCTATAATCTATCTGGATTGGGTTCTTGGACATGATACAGAGTAGGGGATCAGATTTCATTTTTTTTTCAGTAGGATTGTCCACTTGAACCACCCCACTATATTCGAAAGAATGTTCCTTTGTTAATTGCCTTAGGAGCCACGTGTCACAAATTAAGTGTCCCACTAGATATATATCTGTTTGCAGACTATGTTTTATTCCTTTGGTCTCTCTTATATCTTTGTGGCAATACTACAGTGCCCTAATTACTGTGACTATAAATAAGTCTTTCCAAAAAAAGATTTTATTTATTTATTTGAGAGAGACCAAACATGACTGGGGTTCGGGGCAGATGGAGAGGGAGAATCAGACTCCCCACTGTGCAGGGAGCCAGACGCAGTTCTCATTCTCAGGACACTGAGATCATGACCTGAGCAAAAAGGGAGATGCTTAACCAACTGAGCCACCCAAGAGCCCCATGTGTATTTAAATAAGTCTT